GTGGCAAGACGTTTGGTTGAGTTTTGAGTGTGAATAAAAAGGGATTAGATGAGGCTGTAATAATATGATAGTTTACAGAAACCTGTGACATGTTTTTCTTGACGTAAAAAAGCCGATCGCTAGCAGCATTTGGAGCACAATAAAATTTTTCTAACGCTTATGTTTTTTCTCTGTTGTCTCATCAGACTTTGTGAGCCAACTGTTATTCTTATCTAATGATGAAGATTGTGCAGCTCAGGGAAGTGTCAGATTCTCCACTGGAGACAGGTTCACAAGCTAGAGTGTCATCAATTGGGTAACAACTGCAACAGCTCATTCTCTCAGTCTGCATTGACTGATGAATTCCCGGGACGAGTGTCATTTGATAGTTATGTTGAAGCGCAGTACAGTGACGGCAACATTAATCAGTCATGGCTTGGCAAAGCTCCTCCAGATGGTGTCTCTGAAACATCCATTATCACACCACTCACCCCTACTGCTGTTAGTATGGTAATGGATACATCAGTAGCTCCAAAAGTTGGGATACGACCTGTAGACAAGAGACTACATAAAGGCAACAGAGACATATTAAGAAGAGGGGAAGGAACCATGTCCGAGAGTTCTGAGCAAGCCTCTCAATCTAGGGTTACTACTTCCCCCTCATGTGCTATCTCTTCAACAGAACGTTCTATGAACCAGAAGGTTATCTCTTTTCTAACAGAAAGTGCAAAAGTTTTTGTTTGCTTCTTAATTTGCCTAAGCTGAGTTCTCTTTTGTTGCAGTCAAGAGAAAGTGAGTCCATGTTTTCGGAACATGATAGCATCGCGGATGGATTCAATAGTGAACAAGCTGATTTGATGAGTACAATGGGAGAACGCCATATGTTACAAAAGCAGAGGGAACACATCTCAAGAAATCATCGTCACATTTCAAGTTCATTGAATCTAGAAGGCCATGAAATGAGTGCATGCAAGAATCAGAAGGAGTTGATTGATGAAGAAAGTCTTATACGAGAAGGCATCATTACCAGCACTCAGGCAATTCCATTGACTTGCACTCATGGAAAGACTTCAACAAGGAGAAGCAGTAGAGTGAAAAGTGCATCACATTCTCAAGTAGCAAAGTCCCATAGAACGCCCAAAATATCAAGAGAAGAAATGTGTTCAGGTTTGGAAGGAAACAGCCACAATATCGACGAGTCAAGTACGTTTCTTTGATGATTACGATATGCTAATAGCTGCATGTTGCTCTTTCATTTTACTGAGTCCTCACGATGCAGAAAATGCTAGAAGAAAGGATGCCGTCCCTCCACAAGCAGGCAATGGGGTTGCAAACATGGGCATTATGAGAATGTTTGGTCTGGTTAAATCATCAAAAGTTGATAGACATCAATCCATAGAATCCAGGGCTGACAAACACAAGAAACTAAAGGTCGGTTTTCATTCAATAGACTAACTTTAACAATTAAAGAAAATAAAGGTAATTTTTTATTGAGAATCACCTAGGTTCGGAGAAACTCTTTTAATTGATTAACAATAAAGCCTGATTAACATGGTGTTCTTGAGAAATCTAAGTTGCAGTTGATTCATGATGTTGTTGGCTTGTTTTGGGCTTTGACATGAGCCATTAATAATCGTCTAATGAACAGATGCTGTTTCCTTATGAAGAATTTGTGAAGTTATTTGAATATGAAGACTTCACTTTGTTGCCTAGAGGTATCATAAATTGCGGGAATAGGTAATGTTTCAGACGTCTTTACCCTTGTGCCTCATTTATTTTTGTTGTTTATTAAAATTAAAAAAAACTGAATGCATCCTAAACAGAAATTAGTCCAATTGGTAATTTTGCCTGAACATTAGCAAGTCAATTACAGCGGTTGTTGATTCATTTTGCAGTTGTTATGCCAATGCTGTCTTGCAGTGTCTGACCTTCACAAAGCCTTTAACAATCTACCTGCTTCGCAGATCACATTCTAGAACTTGTAATTTCATCACTCCTTTAATCACTCCCGTTCTGTTTCTTTTTAAACAAATTGCAAAATTCATCTATTACATGTACATCAGACTGCAGGAGAGATTGGTGCCTTATGTGTGAACTTGAGCAACATGTGATGTTGTTAAGAGAAAGTGGAGGTCCTCTGTCGCCAAGCAGGATTCTTTTGCATATGCGGAGCATTAATGGCCAGATTGGCAATGGCAGTCAGGAAGATGCTCACGAGTTTTTAAGGTCTGCAGGAAATAACATTTTTATCTCTCTCTGCTAATCTCAATGATGAAAACAAATATCTATGCAGAACTAAGGTTATTTTGTAATTTCTTGGGACGTAATAAAGAAGTGTTTTCTTTAATGACTTTAGTGGAAGCTTGATTTTTTCTTTTTTACCTATTTGTGTATTAATAGTTGTTCTATATGCGTGCAGGCTTCTTGTTGCTTCTATGCAATCTATATGCTTGGAGGCATTGGGTGGAGAAAATGCTGTTGATCCAAGATTGCAGGAAACGACCTTTATACAACACACTTTCGGAGGGCGTCTTAGATCTAAGGTCTAATATTGCTAGTCCTGTTGACTTATTTCATAGTGGAAAATTGAAAGAACTTTATTCTTTCTTTTTTACTTTTACCTAGTAGCTTTATGTCTTATTATGCCAGGTCAAATGCCTGAGATGCCACCACGAGTCGGAGTGCTACGAAAATATCATGGATCTCTCATTGGAGATCTTTGGTTGGGTTGAGTCACTTGAAGATGCATTGACGCAGTTTACAAGTCCCGAAGATCTTGATGGGGAAAACATGTATAGATGCGGAAGGTATGTGAGCTTGCTTTGCTGATTCCCACATTTAGATTGCTTACCCATTGGACATGCATATTACTTCTTGAAATTGAAGTGACTTTTCTGCTCATATTTCCTTAAAAGGTGCGCTTGTTATGTTCGTGCACAAAAGCAGTTGAGCATACAGGAGGCTCCAAATATCTTGACTATTGTCTTGAAGAGATTTCAGGTACTGCCTTTTACAGATGTCACTTGTTAGGCATTTGTTTTTTTATCAAGAAGGCTGCTGTCTCTTTTAAACCAAGAAGTAGTGTCAGTTCTCTGTTTTCACTACTAGTTACTTCCTCTATGATTTTTGCTGGTTATCTGAGAGGATTAGAAGACAATGTCGAAGCTGTCCTAAATGTCAAACAAATGTTTTACCTATATACCTCTAATTCAACAAGCCCGGTTTCTAGTAATATCGGAACTACTATTTATGTCTCATTCCCGAAAGGCACGCTATTGAAATTTGAATCTATTGTGTATGTCTCATTTCTAAAGTCAAAAAAGAGTTTCAGCCATGATGTAACTTTCCTTTTTTAAGTTCTGGGCACTTAAAAGTCTTACAGTCTACATTTTGCTGTTTTAAATATTCTCAACTGTTGTTTAACTTCTCTTCTATAATTATCAGGAAGGAAGTTATGGGAAGATAAATAAGTGCATCACTTTTCCAGATATGCTGGATATGATACCATTTATGACTGCGACAGATGACATTCCTCCACTTTACATGCTTTATGCTGTTGTTGTGCACTTGGATACCTTAAATGCATCATTTTCCGGGCATTACATATCCTACGTGAAGGATCTACACCGACAAGGCAATTGGTTCAGGATTGATGAT